ATGGGTTGTCAACTGTGCAATAAGTCCATCCGTGAAATTTTCTTGCTAGTAAATATTCTACAGTCAACTGTTAGTGGTATTATAACAATGTGGAAGCAACTGGGAACAACAGCAACTCAGCCACGAAGTGGTAGGCCCCATAAAATGACAGAGCAGGAACAGCGCATGCTGAAGCGCACAGTGTGCAGAAGTCAACAACTGTCTGCAGAGTCAATAGCTAAAAACCTAAATAGAAATAAATAAAATGTGATGTCGCGCTGCTTTACAGAATATTAAATAAACATCAATCCATCATGGTTGAAGAAACAACGTGAATAAACTTAATACAAAGTGCTCATAATGCCTAAATAAATTATAATGAATGAATATAGGTGTCATCAATTACTACACAATCAAAGTGAACTGATATCAAAGTGCTCCAAAAAATGAGTGTAAAGTTCATATGATTCCAAATGTAACATAATCCAAGACCACAGAATGAGAATCCGTGCTTAGCGTGAATTCCATGCATTAATTAGTGCCACTTCTGTGCTCCCAGAACGCTCACCTCCAACGCATGAAAAACTGCATGTTTAACGAGACATCTCCACAGCTGATCTCCTTTGGCCACTAAAGGCTATCCACTTCTCCCATATGGTAGATGTTAAGGTGGCTTTAGGGTTCCACTGTTTTCAATAAGTAACATTTGCCTCACCCAAAAGAGAATATGCTTCATATAGTGTAGTACAGGCATCACTAAATGGTGGACCGTGGTCCGGATCCAGAACCAGAAACAAGCAATCATTTACCCACCTTTAGCATGAAAGATCCCGCCCTATGTCCAGACCTGCCGTGCTTGCCGTCTTGTGTAAATAGGGTGGAGAGTGTGGGGAGGGGGGAGTGCTGCAATGTTATGGAAGGAACAAGAATCTGTAACATACAGGGAGGACTGAGATGGGGCGATTTGTGATGAGGGGGGTCTTTGATGGAGCATCTGTGATTGGAGGGGATCTATGATTAGTGATGAGGAGGGTCTGTAATGGAAGGGACCTGTAATGAGACGGGTCTGTAATGAAAGGGGATCTGTGATGAGGGGGTCTGCAATGAGAGGGGTCTGTAATGAGAGGGGATCTGTGATGAGGGGGTCTGTAATGAGGGGGGTCTGTAATGAGGGGGGGTCTGTAATGAGGGGGGTCCGTTAATGAGAGGGGTCTGTGATGAGAGGGGTCAGTAATGAGAGGGGTGTGTGATGGGGGGGGGTCTTTGATTGGGGGGTTTGTGATTGGACAGTCTCTGATGGGGGGGGGTCTGTGGTGAGGGTAGGGGGTCTGTGATGGGCGATCTGTGATAGTTACATAGTTAGTCTGGCTGAAAAAAAGACTGACGGGAGTCACTTTGGGTGGGGGGCTCATGGAACACAGCCCCCTTTGGAGAGGGTGGGGAGACCCCTGTCTCAGCTCCCCAAATCCCTCTTATGTGTAAGTCACCCTGTGCCTGTTAGGGGTACAGGGTGAAATGTCTTGCTATTGAGTAGACATGTATAGGTGGGGGTGTGGGGGTTGTTCATTGTTCACTGCAAAGTGGCTGCATCCCATTGTTCTATTTGTGTGTGTGTATTGTCTACTGCCATGTGGTGTATCCCATTGTTCTATTGTGTGTTTGTACTGGTTTGGTGGGGGGGGGTGTTTCCAGCAGCCCTTCCCCCTGATGGGACAGGTGGCTGTTGTGTTTCCTGTTACTGGTTGTATTTCCCCACCCTGTGTATATATCCTGTGTTTTGTGTTAAAATAAAGCAGTCTACTTCCTGTCTTAAGAAGCCTGGTGCTGTCTATTTCCTATATGGTCAGCGGTGAGGTCCGTGGATGGTGTTCGGACAGAGAAGTGGGAGTCTAACGGAAATACCCTAGCGTAGTCGGGGTCCGGTTCCATTACAAGTCCATCCAGTTCCACCATATTAAAAAAAAAAAGTTATAATCCTACACCCACAGTTGATCCAGAGGATGGCAAAAAAAACAGCAAAGCATGATCCAATTTTCTCCTGCAGAGGAAAAAATTCCTTCCTGATCCCCCGAGAGGCAATCGGATATTCCCTGGATCAACTTTACCTATAAATGTTAGTAACCAATTATATTCTCTGTATCCAAGAAAGAATCCAGGCCTTTTTTAAATTAATCCACTGAGCTGGCCAGAACCAACTCTTGAGGGAGTCTATTCCACATTTTCAAAGCTCTCACTGTGAAAAAACCTTTCCATATTTGGAGATTACATTTCTTTTCCTCCAGACGTAGAGTGCCCCCTTGTCCTCTGTGATGACCTCAAGGTGAATAACTCTACACCGAGTTCACTATATGAACCACTGATGTATTTATACATGTTGATCATATGATCATATCCCCCCTTAACCACTTGCCCTCCAGAGGATTTACCCCCCTTAATAACCAGGCCTCTTTTTGCTACTCAGCAATGCACTAATTCAACTGATAATTGCGCGGTCATGCTGTACCCAGACTAAATTTACGTCCTTTTTTTCACAAAAATTGAGCTTTCTTTCGGTGGTATTTGATCACCTGTGCACTTTATATTTTTTGAGCTATAAACAAAACAAGACCGAAAATATTTAAGAAAAACTATATTTTTTACTTTCGGCTATAACAAATATATAGTAAACTCAAAGTTAGTTATAAATTTAGGCCAAAATGTATTCTGCTACATGTTTTTGGTAAAAAAAATCCAAATAAGTGTATATTGATTGCTTTGTGTGAAAGTTATAGCGTCTACAAAGTATGGTATAGATCAGGCCTTGAAATTTCCACTTGCCTGCTCGCATAATAATGTGGGGGTGAGTGTGTGCTGACACTCTGCACAAGACAGGAGACAGGCAGCGGCACGCTGGGCTGTATATTATTCCACAGTGAGGAAGGAGCGGGCAGGGCCATGAGCTCCACTGACTCTCTGACCAATTCTACAGCAGAGGGTGGGCTCCACTCTGGTGTACGGGGACAAGATGGGTGTGACTTGGCATCCACTCTGATCCCGCGAATCAGATGCCGGGACCCCAACATTTCACACTGCATGGCACTGTTGTTCCTGGAGCTGAAGGAGGGATGAGGAGCCCAGGTACTCGGGGAAAAGGACGGAGGACACTCCACTCGGATAGATGACACAACACAAGTAAGAACCTCTCCAGGGCCCCGAACTGTGGATCTTTGTGCTGGAACACACCATCATTGTGTGGCGACTCAGCATTTGTATCAGTGGTCGAATTGTACCCTATTATTGGCATCAATAAAAGGGACAATGCCCCATGCTTGGTGTCAATCGGAGGAATGGTGCTCCGTCATTGGTGTCAGTGGGAGGAATGGTGCCATGTCATTGGTGTCAGTGGGAGGAATGATGCCATGTCATTGGCGTCAGTGGGAGAAATAGTGTCCCACTGTTGGTGTCAGTTGGAGAAATAGTGCCCCATCATTGGTGTCAGTGTTAGGAATAGTGCCCCATTATTGGCGTCAGTGAAAGGAACAGTGCCCCATTGTTGGTGTCAGTGGGAGGAATAATGCCTCATTGTTGGTGTCAGTGGGAGGAATAGTGCCCCATTGTTGGTGTCAGTGGGAGGAATAGGGCCCCATCGTTGGTGTCAGTGGAAAGAATAGTGCCTCAGCGTTGGTGTCCCTACTGATGTAAAGCACGTATTTTCCTTTTATGTTTATATTGTTGTTGTTACTATTTATTTTTGTAACTTCTGAATAAAACAATTAAATAGTGTAGTTTAACCACTTTCCCGCCACCCTCTATCAGAAATCCTGCTACAGGGCAGCAGGAGTGTGCAAAATCATGTATATATACGCACGTGCGCCCTACTTGCAGCTCCATTCTCTGTCAATCACCGGGTCCCGGACGGTGATTACTCGCCGGCACATGGTGATTGCCAAGTATTACAGGCGAGGGAGAGAACTGTATGTAAACCACACAGATCTCTCCCCTGTCAGCATAGCAGAGCCATACAAAGCAGTGTGCTTACAGTGGAAAGCACACACACAGCCCCATAATAAAACACACACAGCACACAGTTAACCCTTTGATCGCCGCAGATGTTAACCCCTTCCTGCTCAGTGCCATTAGTACAGTGTCAGTGTTTTTATTAGCACTGATCACTGTATTGGTGTCACTGTGGAAGTCACTGACACCAAGTCAGTTCCCCCCCAGTGTCAGAATGCCCGTCGCAGTCCCGCTATAGGTCACTGATCCCTGCCATTACTAGTAAAAATAAAATTAAAAGAAAAAAATTCCAGCATCTACACTGCCATTTGCAAACGCAATGTTTAAATTGACATAATAAAGCTTTGTTATAATTGCAGTTTTTTATATTTTGGACTCTTTATTCTAAAGAAAAATGTAATTTCATAGGCTTTAAGGGGGGCGTGATTGGGGCGGGGTTAAAGGATGGGCCAGGGGTGGGGTTGGAGGCAGACCCAGGCAAGGTTGGGTGGGGTAACTGGTGGAGAGTAAGGTTTGTGCCTGGCTAGTAGGTCTAGACTCAAAAATTATAAGCCCTGGTATAGATACTGCAATTTACGCAATTTTTTTACTATACAACGCTGCACTAGTTTAACTGACAATTGCGCGGTCATGCAATACGGTATATAAATAAAAATGTATGTCCTTTTTTTCACACAAATAAAGATTTCTTTTGGTGGTATTTGATCACCTGTGCGCTTTTTATTTTTGAGCAAAAAAGTTTTGAGCAAAAAAAAAAAGATATTTTCGTCATGTAAAATATCCAAAAAAACTAAAATTTCGTCATAAATTTAGGCCAAAATATATTCTGCTACATGTTTTTGGTTAAAAAATCCCATAAGCTTTATTTCGGTGGTATTTGATCACCTATTGTTCGAGCTATAAACAAAAAAATTTTGAAGAAAAACAATATTTTTTACTTTCGGCTATATAAAATATATTGTAAACTCAAAGTTAGTCATAAATGTAGGCCAAAAATGTATTCTGCTACATGTTTTTGGTAAAAAAAAAATCCAAATAAGTGTATAGTGATTGCTTTGTGTGAAAGTTATAGCATCTACAAACTATGGTATAGATAATGGAATTTACACAGCTTTTACTTTCTGACTGCCCATCACATTTCTTGAGGTGCTAAAATACCAGGATAGTGCAAACACCCCCAAAATGCTTTTTGGAAAGTAGACACCCTAAGCTATCTGCTGAGAGGCATATTGAGTCCATGGAAGATTTTTTTTTCCAAAAGTTTCTGAAAAATGACAAAAACATTTTTTTTACACAAAGTTGTCATTTAAATGATATATTGCTCACACAAGCCATGGGTATATGTGGAATTACACCCAAAAATACAATCTGCTACATCTATTGAGTATGGGGATACCACATGTGTGAGACTTTTTGGGAGCCTAGTCACAGCAACCTGAAATCCAATGACCACTTTGAAAGCCTGAAGGTGCTTAACTTCCTCATTTCACTTCCTCACTACCTATCACAGTTTCGAAGGCCCTAAAATGCCAGGATAGCATCAACCCCCCCAAATGATCCCTTTTTTGAAAGTGGACACCCCAAGGAATTTAAAAAGAGGCATGGTGAGTATTTTTCAGATCTCATTTTTTTTCACAAGGTTTTTAAATATAAAAAAAGCAAAGAAAAAATATGTTTTTGTTTTTTTTTCTTCATCATCCAAAAACTTGTGGCAACAAACGAGATCTGCAAAATACTCACCATGCTTCTTATCAAATTCATTGGGGTGTCTACTTTCCAAAAAGGGGTCATTTGGGGGGTTGGTGCTGTCCTGGCATTTCAGGGACTCCGAAACTGTGCTAGGTAGTCAGGAAGTGTAATGAGGAAATAAAGCCCTTCAAAAGCCTGAAGGTGCTTATTGGATTTTGGGGTCCTGTACTTGGCTAGACTGCCGAAAAGTCTCTCACATGTGGTACCCCCATACTCTCTCCAGAGAGAGAAGTAGCATAATGTATTTTTTGGGAAAATTCCACATATACCCATGGCATGTGTGTGCAATAAATCATTTAAGTGACAATTTTGTGTTAAAAAAATATATTTTTTTTTTTGTAATTTTCCAAAAAAACTTGTGGTAAAAAAAAATAAATTCTTCTATTTATTCAACATGCCTTTCAGCAAATAGTTTAGGGTGTCTACTTTCCAAAAAGGGGTTGTTTTGGGGGTGGGGGCATTTTTTGCCTAGCATTAGAAGCTTATGCCACACATCACTAACTCTTCTAACCACCTGAAGATCAAGCCTTTTCTGACACCTTTTGTTCACATGAAACAAAATAAGTATTTTTTACTACTAGGAAATTGCTTGAACCCCCAAACACATTATATATATATTTTAAAGCAAACACCCTAGTGAATAAAATGGTGGATGCTGCGATTTTTTTATGTCACATAGTACTCAAGCAGCGATTTTTCAAATGCATATTTTTTTGCAAAAAATACACTTTTTTTACTTTTAATGCACAAAAACACAATATATTGGCCAAATATTTGGGTAAAAGATAAAAGATGATGATATTCCGAGTAATTGGTTACCAAACATGACATGGCCACAAACTGCAAACATTTTTAATATCCATAGGCAAAGCTTTAAAAGCCTTTACAAGCTACCATTTTAGATTTACAGAGGTCTAGTGTTATTACTGCCCTTGATCTGATGTCAACGTCAAGGGTCAACGCTCACGCACACAGGTGTGCGCACGCGGTGTGAGGGGGGGGGTTTGCGAGGGTGCTGATTTTTTTTTTTAAGTTATTTGATTTTTTTTTAAATTTTACAATGTCCCATTTTTTTTTACAATGTCCCATTCATTTTTATTTTATCACATTTTAAATCACTTTTAATGCTATCACAGGGAATGCAAATATCCACTATAACTTCAATGGGCATTGTCATATATTCTTTTTTTTTGAGAAATCTGGGGTCTATCAGACTCTAGATATCTCCTCTGCTCTTACATTATCTAATCTCACCAAGATCGGTGTGATCAGATGCTTTCCCAATTTACAAATGGCGCTGTTTATATCCTGCAAAACTGAAGTGATGAAATGCTCGTAGCTTCCGATTTCTTAGGCTATAGAGATGATTGGCACCATTCTGGTCTCCAATCAGCTCTATGGTCAGCTGGCAGAAACACCGCTGCATTCCATCAGGTTCCCCTGAGGGCATTATCATGGTCATCAGGTCACCCAAGATGGGTCAGCCCCAAAAGGCAGTGGAAGGGACTGCCCCAAAAGGCAGGGGGGGGAGGGGGGGGCATCGTCTCCTAATTAGCCACTAGGATTGCTTTTACATGAAAGCCAATCCCCGGCTGAAAAAAAATTATACCAGGATGATGCCTGCAGCTGTAGGCATCATCCTGGTATAACCATTCAAAATATAGTGATGTACTAGTACGTCGCTGGTCCTTGTTGGGTATATATGCTATGTTCTTTTTTTTTTTTGTATGCAGAATGAAAAAAAGAGAAGAAATCTCTGCCAGAAAAAGTGGTATGTCCACCATTAGAATATACCGCCCTGCATCCAACCCCACTTCTAATAGTATGAAAAAAGGATGACACCAAGTCCCAAACGATCTTGTCACTACTCCCCATGTAGTCTGCGCTTCCGGGGGGCTCCACATGACTATCTTTTCCTTCATAAATCCAAAACTTATAAGTATAGCCTGTTGCCCTCTCACAGGTCTTCTACATCTTGACCCCATATTTGGCACGCTTGGCACGCTTGCTGGGGAGAAATTGTTTGAATGCAAGGCGGCCAGAAAAATTAATGAGGGACTCATCAACGGAGTTTTTTCTGTGGAGTATAGACATCTGCAAATTTGGTTAAGGTGATTTATGAGTGGCGAATTTTGTGGAGCCGGTAAAAATTCAGGGTCACCTCAAGGACGACAGAGTGTATTGTCTTTGAAATGCATAAAACACATTATACTCTCATATCTATGCCTGGCCATGGCAGCAGAGAACGCAGGAATATGATGAATCAGGTCTGTGGACCAACACAACCACAATTCATTTTTTTTTAGTAATGCCCATGTTGAGGGTAAGGTCCAAAAAAAATTTTTAATTTGGAAACCGTAATGAGTTTCCATGTGAATGGTCTGGCAAGGTTTGAATTTGGGTTGGCAGTGATAAATTGTTGTGCATAGAAATTGCATTGATCCACAATCAATGCATGCAGTTCTTCAGTGAAAAAGAGCTCCAAAAAAAACAAGGGGAGTAGTTACATTTGCTGTTTCCTAATGAATTCCGGGTTGGGCAGTGAGTGGGGGAGGGGGGGAGTACGGGTGCTGCAGAATTTGTGGGCTGCCAATTGGGATTTGCAACCACATCCAGAATGATACTAGGGGGCTCTACAGGCCTGTGTGTGAATTCTTGGTTGCGGGACAATACTTGTGGAGGTTTATTGTGCATGAGCTGTGTTCCAGGCAATCAAGGGGTTAAATGTGATTACTGGTGTACCGATGGGCAATCTGACGCTATCTGGGAGGGGCGTGAAAACTATGGGAGCGCAAATCACGTATATATACATGATTTTGCGCACCTGTGCCGCCCTGTAGCGGTATTTCTGCTATAGGGCGGTCAGGAAGTGGTTTGTGTTATGGCACTGAGTTACTTTAACTGACAATTGTGTGAACATGCAATGCTGCACCAAAATTAAATTTATGTCCTTTTTTCCCCACGAATTGAGATTTCTTTCGGTGGTATTTGATCGCCTGTGCATTTTTTTTTTTGCGCTATAAAGAAAAAAGTCCAACAATTTTGAGAAAAAAAACAAAAATCCCAATACGTGTACATTTTTTTTGTATACTAATAATAGCAGCGATCAGCGTCTTATGGTGGCAATCAGCGACTTATGGCGGCAATCAGCTACTTATAGCGGGACTGCGGGACTGTGGCGGACATTCTGACACTGGGGGGGAACTGACTTGGGATCACTGACATCCCCAGTGACACCAATACAGTGATCAGTACAAAAGAAAAGCACTGACACTGTACTAATGGCACTGGGGAGGAAGGGGTTAACATTAGATGACAATCAAAGGGTTAACTGTGTGAGGGGAGTGTTTAACTAGGGGGCGGGGGGTGTGTGCTTCACTGTAAGCACACTGATCCGGAAGGCTGAGCTCAGCAATCCGGATCAGTGTGCTCAAACTGACAGGGAGGAGTGCTCCATTGAAAACAATGCAGCTGTCCTCTCTGTCAGTGTTTGCCGGCAATCACAGGGCTCCGGCGAGTAATCTCTGGCTGTGACCTGGTGATTGACACCCATGGCTGCAATCGGTGCCGTGGGTAGGGTGGTCGTGCGCCTCGAGCACACCCCCTGCCCCGAAATGCAGGATGACGTTTATAACGTGGTGGTCGAGGTAATGCCCGTTGGTCTCCCTGAGGCGGAGCGCTTCCATAAACTCTGCCATAGGGGGACATTTTGGATACATGCCCTTGACACCCTATTCCCCACTGGCCTCAATGAGGAGTTGGAAATTGCCACCATATTACAGGTGAAATTCGAAAAATTAGAATATCGTGCAAAAGTTCATTTATTTCAGTAATGCAACTTAAAAGGTGAAACTAATATATGAGATATATAACAGAGCAAAACACGAAACTCTTCACCATAAATTGACATAAATCAAGAAGAGTGTCCCACAAAATATATCATACATAAATATGTATAAAAACTTAATTAAAACCTTAAAAAGTCCTTCTTCCCAAAGGTGTATGTATAATGATAAACAAATCTTCTCCCAAAGAAAAATGTGCTCCCACCATCCACCATTAAAATCCTAAAAGGTGCAATACTCATCATTATCTGGTGAGTGCGGTTGATATTAATTTGTGGTGGATGGTGACAGTAATATTTCAGAGTCAGTCAGATATGTTGTTAGACAGATTTAGAGAGAAGGGATACCGAGAACAGGTTCTAGTATGTTCTTTAGAACAAGTTAATAAAATAAAATTAAAAGGGAAGATCTGCTGGTAAAACAACACAATAAAAATAGAAAAGTAGGGGATATGGCCTTTGTTACAGGTTATTCGAGTAAATACAAAATGGTGGAAAGGATCATTAACAAATATTGGTCGATCCTTAAAAGAGATGATGTCCTAAACAAAATACTTCCAGGGAGACCCATGTTTATATATAGGAAGCCACCAACATTAAGAAATATACTAGTAAAAAAATGTCCCTGATATATACCGAGGAAGAAGGTAACTTTTTTGGATAGGGTGGGATTTTTCAAATGTAAACGATGTAAAGCATTTAAACATCTTAAAGGTGATGATAAAAGATATTATGATAGTTTCCAATCATGTTCCAATGGTTCATCATATAAAATCAAGAAGTTATATATCATGTGACAGCACCCATGTTACATATCTGCTGGAATGTTCTTGTAATTTCCAGTATGTAGGTAGAACCAGCAGAAAACTTTCTGTAAGATTGGGAGAACATATAAGAAATATTAAAAAAAGATTTAAGTATCATAGTTTATCACACCATTTCAGAATGTGTCATAATAGGGATCCGACATCTTTAAGATTTTGTGGAATAGATAGGGTTGATGTTCCGTGGAGAGTGTGGTGATATGGTTAAAAACATATCACAAAATGAAACAAAGTGGATTTATCAAATGGGAACATTAATCCCTAAGGGGTTAAATGCAGAGATCGATATAAACTGCTTCTTATCTAATTGGTAGATAAACTGAATTTAAAACATGTTCAGATTTTTTGATATATGCCTTATTGTAATTTCATGTTTAGAATTTTAATTTTTTATTGGTTATTTTTTTATTTTTTTTTTTATATTTAAGTGTTCTTGCATGGCAAGACCACTTACTGTTATCTCACATATATATTCTTATTATTATAGACAAATTTACCACCCTAACTCCTTCCACAGTTTTTACACCACTACATAGACAGTAATATACCGAAACGTGCGGATTGTTCATGATTGGTGTGCTATTACTTTGTGGAACGTTTCGCCGAATGGTTCACGAAATATCTGCGTTTTTGTGGTAAAATTGGTCCCATAGGAATGAATGGCGGAATGTTCAAAACTAGAGTGGGAGTTGACAAAAGCTACAGTGTGAGCAGAAAAATCAGGACATGATTTCTAAACTGCCACCACTCCCTCATTTTCAAGCCCACCTACACAAATCTTATATCAAAACATTCAGCTATCCCTGCTGCCACTAAAAATGTCCACGGCTAAGCCATAGTCCTGATAGTTTTCACAATATGACCATTTGTTTGCAACTCACGCCGCCCATTGACATTCATTGAAACTCCACTCTAGCCACCTCAAATTTGAAGGGAAATTTCTAAACTGCAACTTGGCCTTCATTTTTAATATTTCAGAGACATACTATGCAACAAAATGTAGGTCTGGGTCTTGTGATTCTCACAATATAAAGCTCTTTGCTGTAGGATTTATAATCTTTAAACTACAACCATTTGAACATGGCAACTGCCAGTGAAGTGAGCAAGTTGGAGCAGTTTGTTTTTAACCTCTCTTCTCTGCCCTTGCTGTAGAGTGAGTTGCATGAGTTTTTTAACCCACTCCATAAAGTTACTCTGCCCAGTCCAACCTTTTCACAGTTACGCCAGCCACTCCAACCACACAACAGTTACTCAAGCCACTCCACCCAGTTACTCCGCCCACTCCAGTTGTAGACTACTGGTGGAGCTAAGAACACTTCACACAATTTCCCCAGAAATTGTAGCTTTTCTAGTTAATTTGTTGTTCTTTTTTGTAGTAATGTCAATTGGTTATGCAATGGAATGATATTGTACTATTAAGTGTGAAGGAATCCCACACTGGTTAGCAGAGGATGACATGTTAGGAGGAAGTGTCTTCTGGATAATTAGCATATTGAAAGAGAGGGGAGGTGCCCTGGGCTCTATAAAAAGCGGCTTTTGACTGGGAGTGGTGTCTTGAGAACATCCTGTGGGTGGGGCGAAACACGTTGATGCACTTCCGGTCTGCCGTCAGTACGATCTACATCACTTCCGGTGAGTGGAGCGCACGCTGAGGGGTGCGTTCCAGCAGCCATCTTTTATGTCGGGAATACAGTGTTTTCCTCTGCAAACCGCAAGGCTGTGAGGTTCCTGGTACTATTTTGGATATGTGGATCTGTGTGAGCCGATGAAATGCTTTTAACTTACTTTGAACATGTGAGTGGCCTGGTATTATTATTAATTTATTAAGTTTTACTGGCAGTATTACTCTATGTTATTTTTTCTTCTGCACTGCTGGAGTTTTTGAAGGAGTGAGTTGAAGGAGAGCATTGTACCAATCAAGGTGGAAAAGGAGCTCTGGAGAGTTTTAGAGGGGACATAGGATCCCTAAAATCCTAAAAGGCGCAATACTCACCATTATCTGTGGTTGATATAAATTTGTCACTGGTTGATGGTGGAAGCACATTTTTCTTTGGGAGAAGATTTGTTTATCATTATACACCTTTGGGAAGAAGGACTTTAAGTTTTAATTAAGTTTTTATACATATTTATGTATGATATATTTTGTGGACACTTTTTTTGATTTATGTGAATTTATGGTGAAGAGTCTTGTGTTTTGCTCTGTTATATGTCTTTTTCTTTAAATATTGGTGTTTTACACTGTTGCACAGCAGCATACCGGTATCTTTATCACATTTTAGATTTAATTTAACTTTGTGCGCTGGGGTTCACAATATATAATATATGCGATAGACTCATTACATGCAAAGCTAGATAGTTCATAATTTTGATGATTATGGCTTACAGCTCATGAAAACCCCAAATCCACAATCTCAGAAAATTAGAATATTGTGAAAAGGTGCAATATTCTAGGCTCAAAGTGTTCCAGTCTAATCAGCTAATTAAGCCATAACACCTGCAAATGGTTCCTGAGCCTTTAAATGGTCTCTCATTCTGGTTCAGTAGGAATCACAATCATGGGAAAGACTGCTGACCTGACAGTTGTGCAGAAAACCATCACTGACACCCTCCATAAGGAGGGAAAGCCTCAAAAGGTAATTGCAAAAGAAGTTGGATGTTCCAAAAGTGCTGTATCAAAGCACATTAATAGAAAGTTATGTGAAAGGGAAAAGTGTGGAAGAAAAAGGTGCACAAGCAGCAGGGATGACCGCAGCCTGGAAAGGATTGTCAGGAAAAGGCCATTCAAAGGTGTTGGAGACTTTCACAAGGAGTGGACTGAGGCTGGAGTCAGTGCATCAAGAGCCACCACACACAGACGGATTCTGGACATGGGCTTCAAATGTCGTATTCCTCTTGTCAAGCCGCTCCTGAACAACAAACAACGTCAGAAGCGTCTTACCTGGGCTAAAATAAAACAGACCTGGTCTATTGCTCAGTGGTCCAAAGTCCTCTTTTCTGATGAGAGCAACTTTTGCATCTCATTTGGAAACCAAGGACCTGTCAAGGTCCTACCTTTTCCCAGAGGTTATGTTACTCCATGTGCTAGCATCCATCTTGGATTTCTGCTGAGCATGATGGGAATCTTTTATGCCTTCAGGTCTCTGAGGTCCATCCCCCAGAGGGGTGTGCCTGAGTACATATAAGCCTGGGATCTGCACATGCTCTTTGCACTTGTGTCTTTGTCTTGCTACAGCTCTGTGTATACGCTTGTGACTCTTCTGGTATTCTGACTCGGCTTGTGACTAAGACCATTCTCTGTGTTTCCCTTTGATCTGACCTTCCGTTGCTGAACCCGGCCCGTGACCTGTGATTCTCTGTTTACTGTTCTGTACTGTTTTGTCCCGTTGTTATTGACCCGGCTTGTCTGACTATGCTATTGTCATTCTCACCAGCTACACGCCATTGGCGGCGGCCATTACCGCAGCTGGGGTGTCTCGGGGGCCGCGACCTGGTCCCTGGTTGCGTCAAGTCCATCCCCACCATCAGGGGCCCTGGTGAAGGGCAGCCTGGGACTTAGACTCCGCACCCTGAGGGACTTCAGTCTGTTGGTGGTGGTTGTCGTCAGCCAGTGCGTTACCCTGCCACTAGGCCTACCTGTCCGT